ACCTGCAGATTCAAAGGCAAATAATCATAGACGTGAATATTCCTAGTAAGAAACATAAACAAATAAAGAATTATATATTTCCAAATACAGTTGCATAATCATATGGTAATTAACTGAATCCCATAAAACCCCTAAAAATAGTAAAGTGGGAAATATATTGAGGTTTCAGATTACAGAAATTTATTAGATCAAAATTTTATTTTTAACAACTCTTGGAAGAAAATAAAAATCACATGTACATATCACTAGTATAGAGAGAAAAATAAATTTGTTTTTAATCTTACAATTTGAAGAATCTGCCCAAAATTGAAAATGGAGTAATTTTTAATGGAAGAATGAAAAGATAGTACTTGGGAATAAGCGTCAAAACAATGGCTACAGGACATACAGACTGGTGTGCATCTTGTGAGAATATATTTGCCTTAACAGCTGAATCATAGAGGCCTAATAAACAGGTTTGCCTTTAACAAGAAAGTTGATAGGAGCTTAGTAGGCTGGGCAACAGAATGTGATTCCATATCTCACAGTAGGGAAATCAGACACTTCATAATTCAGTGGTCTGAGGCCCCCAAGAAGAAGCTTCTAGGTCTATTGCCTAGAGACTAGTAACTGCCAGGCTAAAAGTCCAGAGATGCAGTATTTGTCCCCTGGCAGGAGATGCAAGGTGTGGAGCTCCTGGGGTAAGAGCCGGGCAACAGGCAAGGGCTGAACATCGCAAAACCTCTGGCAGCTGGTGGACTCAGTGCCTGTCTCCTCACAGTCACTGTGTAGAGATGGTTCCAGCTGAAAGGTTCTGGGAGAAAAGCAGTCAGGGTTGTAGACCAGGTTGCTGGGGTAGGAAGAGCCACAGGAGGAACCTGAAGAGGGCAGGCATCTCCTAAGTGAGCAGGAGGAGAAATTTTCAGAGCAGCAGCTGCAGGCCATGCTGAGAGGAGGTGTGAGCTCAGCTGGATGTCCCTGAGAGGACTCTGAGTTTGAATGTCATCCTGTGGAGAGCTGGGTTTATACACTTTCAGCAACAGGTGTGGTACCCAACAGGGTCACCCTCTACACAGCTACAAGCTTCCTCCTTTACGAAGGTACAGCTCAAGAATCTCTTTGTAATTACAGTTACATTTGCATAGTTTTCTGTGCTGTATATTTATGGGTTTTGCAATTTCCTTGTTATAACAGAAGTCAATGAGCCACAGATGTCAGAATTGCCATGGATGTTTTACATTAATGCTTACTTTCTCATGTCTGGGACCATCCCTCCTTTTCCTCTTGACATAATTTTTGTATGTGTTGTCATAGAATATTATGGGGAATACATGCTTGTGTTTTCTTGCATAGAATGAAAGTAGTGTACTTTTTCCATTTATTAATAAACTGTACACATTGCTTAGGGTTTCATTTGAAACCCACCAAAGATCATATGTGTCTCCATTGCAATTTTTCATAATTGTTCTGAAATTAACTATACAGAATTAACTATGTGTTTTACATTCTAGTACCAAGGAAACGCTATAATCCAAGATAAAATAAATAATAATGAACATAATAAGAAAACAAGGTAATGGTTAAATTTCTTTGATGGTAAAGGACAAAACTAAGCCTCACACATGCTGATATTTTGGACCATTATAAAAATTCAAGGCTTAGGGATCCATTCAGAAAATGAGGTGGAAAATTGTGAGAGCCAGAAGTGATGGATAAGTGTAAGGAAACATTATCTTCCAAAACAACAGAGAATGTGGAACTCATAAGACCTACACAGGTCCCAACTAGACAGGTTCTCATCACTGTGAGGGAGAAATGGGCAAAGGCTCCCACCCCTAACAAAGAATATGTTTATAATTGGTACCACTGGAAAAGGGAAAATCACCTTTCTTCAATGAAACATTCTGAGTTATATCAACTGCAGTCCAGGGCAGGATCCATGTACATTGTACATAGGTCATAGTAAACCAACACAAAACCAATTCCGTGGTTTTCCATGGGCTTTTGGTTTCACTTTGGCATTCTTTGTCTTATTAGCTTTTTGTTGTTATTTTTAGTTTTGGTGTTTTTGTTCACTTGTTTGAGAGAGAGACAGGCATGCACGCACATATGCACACGTGTACTTCTATACACACAGAGGAAGAGATAGAGAGGATGTGAAGTTATGTGGATATGTAGATGGGGGAGATCTAGGAGTAATTGTTAAAGGAGAAAACATGATCAAAATATTGCATAAAATGTTAAATAAAACGGAACAACAAATAAATATAAAGTGTGAACCACACAAAATATGAGAGCATGAAACATGTATTGGTATCAGAGTGTCTTCCCTGAGGTCCGAGGAGGAAACAGGTCTCATCTGTGTTTGGCAGTGTGGAGCATTCACATCTAGCCCCTTGAGGAAGACCTTTGTGGAAAACCTACGACTTGTATTCTGCTAAATGGGCACTGGATAAAAAGACAACTAATGAACTGCTATATACCCATACATGAAAGTATGCTTCAACCCTCATTAGAGAAGCTTCTATTTGCAACAGAGACATCTTTGTCATGCTGTCTTATGCCAAGTCTCAGGGGTCATTTTCAAAAAGAGTGCAGAATGGCAGAAAGAGCCGGAAGCAGTGGAAGGACAAGAAAATGGGCTTTTACAGACAAAACAGGGCTTTTGCACATATGAACTCAGAATGGTTGTGATCACACACTCATTGCCTGTGAAAGCTCTAGCCAGGCAAACCACAGTGGGCAGCAGAAGAGTGGGCTGAAACATCACCCGTATCTGAGGAGCTGTTAACAACTGCCAGCTGCTGGGTAAGAGGGTGTCAGTCTTCTTTAAGTGGTTAGCCCACTCTCCAGTTAATGGCCTTGCATCTGAGGATGTATAGACAGCAAAAAATTGAGCTTGATAGATTAAAAAATATATAGTGGTAAAACACAAAGTAGAGTGGGTAGGGAGTGGGAACTGGAAAAGGTTGAGGGTTGAGTATAGTGAAAACATATTGCACGAAAGTTTTTAAGAACTAATAAAAATGAGGGAAAAAAAGAGATTTCTTCATAGGATGTCATCAAATATTTTTCTATTAATCTATCATTTAGTGTATTAGTTAATAAAATATCTTTGAAATGAGTTAGATTGTTCCCTTTTAGCTCTTTGCCGAAATCTGCTTATTTTTATTCTTTATTTTGAGTCTTTCCTGTGAGGCTGATGAGATCGAGGCAATAGGTTAAACCTGTCCAGGTGAAACAGTTTCCAGAAAGGCAGGACTGTGAAGATTCCTTGATTGCACCAGGAGCTCAATGTTTTGAATTAAGTGGTTCAGGAAAGAAAAAAGTATGGAAATTCCTTTAAAAATTCAGCATCTGTGATTATTGGATCTATAAAAATTGCAAAGTTTCAAGCACTTTGTAGGGCTCCTTTAAGCCTAAAATGGTTAAAATACTTTGTCTCTCTCATATTTGCTAGCATTAAATGGATATTCTATGTCAGTATTACAGTGTTCCATGCAGCATACTGACTTGGATGACCCATTGACCCCTGTCAGGACTACAACGGAACACATGATATTTTGATTTTGGAAGGTTCAACATTTTGAATAAACTACCTTTGCTCTCGCTCTCTTTCCTCCTCTCAATATAAATATATATGCATACATATTACAGATAATTTATATGTAGCACATGTAAGTGTATATTATAAATACAAAATAACATATTTTGTGAATATATATATGATTTCTTTTGCTAAGTAGCTGGATATCTTAAAAGTTACATCAAACCAACATACAATAATACCTCCTGTTAGTCTTCATTCATAAGATTGGGAGGATACAGGATGTTACATACCATCAATCACTAAAAGATAAAGCTGTCCCCTGGGAGTAAGAACCAGAAGTCCACAATTCCGTGAGTCACCTAAATGTCCTTGGAAGTCCCTGGGATTTAGAATATAAATTTCACCTTATAAATGCAACTCCAGAAAGCACTTCCTCATCACTATTTTTACCAGAATTTTCTTTCTTGGTCTACTTTTGTGCATCTTCGACAGTAGGCAAGTCTAGATTTCTAAAATACTTGCCAAATAAATTATGGCTAAGCTTCTGAGTTCTCCTGTGCTTTGTGACTCAGACTAAGAATAATAAGACAAAGCTGTTTCCTACTTCTCATGTACATTGTAGGTGAGGCATGGATAACACTGAAATGAGGGAGGCAGGGAAGTCAGCGTGCACATGAGCCAGGAGGTGTTTGGCTTTAAAGTTGTCCAAGGCTCACCTCTCTCTTGACTAAACATATATACTCAAATACTAATTGTAGATAATTCTGTCCACATAGAGCCTTATATTATTAATTCTACAACATCTCACTCTTGATGTTTATATTTTAGTCACATCCTAATTACTTTGTTTCTATGGTTCAGCAAAAAAAAAAAAAAATCTGATGCTTCAATAACAAGAAGCTCTCACCTTACTGCTGATTAACCCAGTCTTCAGATACATATGGCAATCTTTCTAGAACTGAATGTCATCTATAACTAAGGTGACAAAAGAAAAATTAAACATTCTCAAATCCATCTGAATATTTATTTTGATCTTTTGTTAAGTTTCTTAAAAACAATAAATGAAAAAAATACGTAAAAATAATAAAGTGGACAAAATATGGAGGCATCAGAATGCACACATTTATTAGACTTTTTTTATTTTTAACTGCTCATAGATGAAATGCAAACAGCACATGTATATAGGCATAGAACAAAGAGCAAGACACAAATTAAAGTTAAGCAAAATATCAGAATATTGAAGATGTAGAGGTTTGTCGATGGAAAGATGAAAAGTACCAGTGGGATTAAGCAGGGAAACAATAGCTACAAGCTTAGAGACATTGACATTGATCCGGTAAAGATTTGACAATTAACCGTGCATCCTTAAAAGCCAAACCAAAATGTCTGTCTAACAACAAGGGTGACAGGAACTAGCAGCCATGTAGGTTGGGTAGCAGATTCTGGACCCATCACTCAGGGAAGGGAAGTCTTAGAGTCTGTAAGTCATAGATCTGAAGCCACTGGATCTACAGCCCCCTGAGTAGCAGCTTCTAGATCCATAGCCCAGGGATTGGCAGCTGTTGCACCAAAAGCCTAGAGACCCAGCATATGTTCCCTGGCAGAGACTACAAGGTGTGGAGATCCCTGGGTAGTAGCAGGCTGTCTGGCAGGGTCTGGACACCACGCAGGGCCTCTGGCAGCTGGTGGGCACATTGCAGGTCTCCTGACAACCGGTGTTCAGAGAGGAATCCACCTGGCAGGGTCTGGACACCGTGCAGGATCTGTGGCAGCTGGTGGGCACAATGCAGGTCTCCTGACAGCCAGTGTTCAGAGAAGATTCCACCTGGCAGGTGCTGGGAGAACAACTGGTAGTGGTGTAGACCAGCTTGCTGGGGTAGGAAGAGCCACAGGGGGAACCTGAAGAGGGCAGGCTGTGCCTAAGGGAGCAGGAGGAGCAGGCTCCAGAGCAGCAGCTGTAGGCCATATTGAGAGGCGATGTTAGCTCAGCTGGATGTAACTGAGAAAATTCTGAAGATTTTCATTACAATGATGGGCTTAAATAATATCAACAAAAGGTGTGGTACCAGGCTCAGCCTTGTTCATTTTTTTTGCCCTCTCTTTTATTAAGTAAGAATGCTGTAATCATTCCGTAATTCTATAATTTCAATTACTCTTAAATACTTTCCTGTACCTATATTTAGAGATGTTGTAATTTCCTTAGCACACAGAAAGGCAATGAGCTACTCCTATCTTAGAAATGTCATGACTGTTTTACAGCAAAGCTTATCCCATCACATCCAGGAAAATCCCTTCTTTTCATATATAAATATATGAAATATTAATATGTGATATTATCATATATCTGAGAGAGAGCACTTATAAGAAATATGTTTGCCTTTTATTGTAGAAAATAACAATAATCTTCCTTTCTTGTTGTTAAGAGATTTGAAGCATTACTTTGGGATTTGAATGAAATGTACTGAAGATTGACCATACTTGTCTTCATCTTTTCTGCTTTTTTTGTAATTATGTATGGGGGACACAGAGTATTGGCACATGGTTCACCTTCAATAGCAAACAGACAATGTAAGTCAATAAAACTGAATAAGTGTGAGCCTTAAATGAGATAGCTTTCATTCAGTTTTCTGAATGGCTCAGAACATCTAGATGTGGCCAACCAGTTACTGGTCTACCTTAAGGCCCGAGCCATGAGACACAATCCATGTCTGACAGTGCCTGGGTGGCCAAGAAATGAACACTAGGTGAGCACTAGATGGCTGAGACACCTAGGGTAGAACTAAATATGACTGTCAGAAACAAAAAGTCAATGAAATGATTCCTAGCGATATTCCGCTATACTCATGGTTCGATGCCTAGCCCAATCATCATTAGAGAGGCTTTCTCCAGCAGATGATAGAAACAGTGAGAGAGACCCTGAACCAAACATTAAGCAGTGCTGGGGAACCCCAGAGAAGAGGGGGATTCAGAAGGATCAAGGGAATCAGAAGAACACAGCCCACAGGATCAACTAACCAGGGCTCATAAAGGATCACAGATACTGAAGCTGAAATCATGGAGTCTGCATGCGTCCACAATAGGTAGGTCCTCTGCATTTATGTTGTGGTTGTTTAGCTTCAGTTTGTGTGTTGTTATTTCGGGCGTGAGCTAGCCAAGCGGCTGGGGTGTTGGGGACACAGCCCTGCCGCTCCTATTTCGACACTTGGGGTTTTTAATGGAACTCCAAACAGTGGAACTATATGGTTTCTAATTCTTTTGCTTGCTCTTGGGACTCTTCTCTCCTACTGGGCTGCCTTTGTCCAGCCTTGATATGCGGGCTCGTGCCTAGTTTTATTGCATCTTGTTATGCTGTGTTCATTTCATATAACTGCCAGGCTGCTCTTTTCTGAGGGAAAATGTGGGAGCAGTGGATCAAGGGAAGAGGGGAGGTAGGGGGGTGGGAGATGGGAGAGGAGGCTGTGGTCAGAATTTACTGTATGAGAGAAGAATACAAAAGAGAAAGAAAGATACTTTTGATCCTAGATCCTGTGTGTCTGGCATGTGACCTGAGGTTGTATGGTTCTCATCTATGAAATCATGGAGGGTTTGTTTCTAACACTGCACGGTACAGGAGTCTCCCTGACTGTGGATCACCCTGAAACTGTTTTTCTAGACATCGTTTTGCATGGGCTTCTGCAGGCAGTAACTGAGGCTGGAGAAGATATGGGGATTCCGAGGAGAGTCTGACAACCAGCCTTAACACAGGGTTTTGGTGGGTAACTTGAAGCTACCCCTCCACATCTTTATAGGGAACATATGGGGAGGATTTGCTCTTCCTCCTGATCCATCTCCTATAGAAGATTTTGGAGATGAGAAATAAAGATGAAAAAAGTTTGGCTAGATGGTGGTGGCACATGCCTTTAATCCCCATACTTGGGAGGCAGAGGCAAGTGGATCTCTGGTAGTTTGGGGTTATCCTGGTCTACAAGAGCTAGTTCAAAGACAGGCTCAAAAACTACAGAAAAACCCTTTCTCGGAAAACCAAAAAAAAAAAAAAAATCTGAATATATCAAATCATACTTACAGTATTTAAAATAGAATCCGAGTTTGGTGAATAACAGAAAATGCAGGTGGTTTTCCCTTGGGGACATTAGGTAGGGTTAATGAAGAAATCATTTTACTAGTGTATGCACCTATTTCCATTTGCTTATTCTGCAGTTACACAGCTTCTGTGACACCTGTTTCTACTTATTGTCTGCTAAACACAGCTATAGTCCATTCTGTGTATGGCAAAATAGAGTTTATCAGAGGTAAAATGAAATAAGTTGTCTTTAGAAGACGATCATCAGGCTCAGCAGATGAAAAGATGCATCAACTCAGAGCTTACACCTACACCTAAAGCAAAGCTTTGAGAAGCTAGCATGTGTCGGTCTTACCAAAAGCAGAAGAAAGTATCACTAAAGGAAGAATATAACTAGTTCCATGCCAGATTTTTAAAGCCATTCAAATACATAATTAATTCAGGTGATATGATTTCCTAATCTGACCCAGACTGTCCAAATAATGCTTTATAAACCTTTACTGTTCCTGTAAAATTGATAATAAAGTTCACAATCTTGACAAGGGATGGTATCATAGTCAATAATATTGTACAACGTGAGGATGACAATGCCAAGGTATTGTTGAGCAGAAAGTTTTTATTGTCTATGCATATATCACAGAGAGAGAGAGAGAGAGAGAGAGAGAGAGAGAGAGAGAGAGAGAGAGAGAGAGAGAGAACAGTCAGAGGCATCTGGAAAAGTCCAGAGCACGGAGAGAAAATAGACTGAACATTGGACTTGGACACAAGAGGGAAGAGAGGCAGGGAGAGTGAGAGGGGAAGAGAAAGAGATGACCGTGAGAGGAGGGGAAAGAAAGCACAGAGCTGATACACAAGAGGGTGATAAGGGAATGTGAACCTGGGGAAGGGAGGCCCCTGAGCTTGAGAGGCTTAGGATAGGAACGGGGGAGAAGAGCCAGAGAGCCAGCACGGACTCTGAAATGTGGAACAGGTTCTTGTGAAAGTGACGGAGTCTGGATGCCAGCACTTTGGGAAGCTAATAACCACGACAGACGGGCATTTGTCCCTTCTGCCCGTGATAAGGAAATGGCTCCTTTGGTATAGGGGAACCAGCTTCCTGAGGAATGCTGGCTTTTTTCTAACTGCCAGTATGTGTGTGTGTGTGTGTGTGTGTGTGTGTGTAAGCCATGTTAGTAAACCATGTTGGCAGGTATAGAGTTCCTTAGCTTGTCAATCACTGTCTTCATCCCTTCTGTGGCATCATTGCTTTTGAAGGCTTATTTCATTGACTTTAAATTTATAATTGGAATAATCACATTCTATCATTTTTGTTTTTTCTTTATAGGAATAATTGTAAAATATTGTTTCAACATTAGAGTAAATGATTAAAAAAATGAAAAGTTACCATTAAATCTGTACATCAACATGTCTTCATTTGATAACACTAAGTGATCATCTTGAAATCAACCGTCTCATATTAATTTTTACTCTTTCAGAGTATACACTGCTAAGTGTGGAGAGAGGACATTCAGATGTAGGTTAAGCATACTATCTACAATTAAACACCTAGGTTTGACAAAATATTACACTACTGAATTAATTTTATTACTGAATCCACTTGACATGCTCAAGAGAAAATATCCATCTTATTCTCTAATATCTGACAACAATTGGTTTTATTCTCCAAACAGTATAAACAAGATTTGGCATTCATTTATCCTACATTTTTTCTCTTCTACATTTTCCCTAAAGAGGATTATGAAAACACAAAGACAACTCTGTCTGTTGCCTCTGTTTCTCACTCCACATAGGTTCAAAGTGTTCAGCTTTTCTTGGCTTAGTTAGTACCTTTGCTACTGCAGGTAAAACGTCATGGTAATGCTCTATAATCACACAGAAAAATTAGTAGAAAATGAGGAATCACATCGAGGAGCATAGTCTTTAGTAGATTTCTTAGGAAACACAGAGGTACACTCCTCAACTTCAGTAAAGAAGTAAGGACATTGCTCTCCTTCTACATCCAGTAAGACAGGTGTGTTCCTCAGAACATTCTAGCAGAACACTAGGATCAAAGTCAAGAGGAAAGGGAGGATTTCCTGGACATGATGAAATAACTGTTAGTATAAAGTTTATCATGTCATCTATATCAAGAAAGTTACAACACACATAAATACACTGTGCAGAAACCGATTCAAGCGCAACTACAATTACAGAGATTGATGAATTGCACATTTGTAAACCAGGAAGCACACAAATAAGGAAAGGATGAAAAAGCTGGGCACCACACCCATTTCTGAGAGTATAAAAATGCCTCTATCCACAGGGTGGCCTTGAAATTCAGAACATTTTCAGTTAATTCCAGCTGAGTTCAAATTTCAACATGGCCTGTAATTGTTGCTTTGGAAACTTCTCCTCCTCTTCCTATAAGCACCACCTGTCTTCCTCAGGTTCCTCCTAAGGCTGTTCTTGCCCCCAGCAACCTGGCATTGCCAGCTGCTCTCCCAGTACCATCAGCTGGAATCATTTCTGCACAGGGGCTATACCACCAGCTGCCAGAGGTCGTGTGTGATATCGAGCCCCTGCCAGATGCCCAGCTTCTACTGCAGAGGCTGCTTTCTTAGTAGTCCCTGCCATCCAGCCTATGCTGATCTCTAGGTTTTGCGTTCAGCCACTGTTACTTGCTGCCTATGGATAAGCTATACAGCTTATCAAGTGTCTTCAGGTCTCTGAACTATGGAGTCAATCCTCCTAGCCAGTCTACATGGCTCACGTACTTGCCAATGTCCTTGATAGAGACCACTCTTTGGTATTAGCTTCTATAGAATCAACTGTTTCTGTGCTCTTACCGTATCAACGTCGATTTTGTCCTGTAGCACTTGTTTCCATGTTCTGTCTCAATCTTTTCTTTTTTCTTTTTATTTATTTTT